TAGAGTCATGCCTACGTCTTGCCTGAAACTTCTCTGAACGACTACGGCTTCTAGAACACAAAGATCTAAAATAAAGAATATTTACATTAGTAGTGAATGTACGTGCAAGCAACTCTTCTCGCTGTCGCTCCTGCTGCTCCCGGATGTAACGGCGATGTTGAAAGTTCCTCAGAGCTGTCTGCAAATGCTGAACATCATACTTCAGCTGGTCAACTCGGCTAGAAAGGATCAACAACAGGAAGACGTTCCCAGGGATAAAAACACCATTCTTCTCTGGTGTTTTTTATATAAACAATGGAGCATTATAAATTAACAGTGACGAATAATAAAGAGTGATTGGTTCTACTTATCTAGAAGATAAAAGGACATTCAATGTTAGGTTTATATTCCAGACCTAGATCTTCTGTGCCTCGTTTTTCTACTAAACAGGTGATTATTTAACTGGAGGCTAACGACAGAATGTGAAGCAGAATTCTTGAGCTGGTTTGAACATCCTATCCCATGGCTAGTCTCTTCAGGAGTTAATATATCTATTCCCCATTTAACACAGATTTGGAGAGATGGTAGGATTTGAACAGTTTCTATTTTATGACCCTCATGCACATAAAAGATTAAGCGTTCAAGTTACATTAATTAGCACCATGTTCTTAAGTTTGAGTTTTTATTAACAGGATTTTAAAAGTCAGTGGACAATACAGGAGAGATCTCGATGGGGCTAAAACAAATAGTGTCCAGAACTCCACTGTCTCTGATTAAATGCTTGATGACTATAAAGAAAGCCTAGATGACCATTTCAGATACTGACCTCTATAATAAAGGTGATGTGAAATCCACCCCTAGTATCTACAAAGGCATTTTGGGACTAAACATCAATAGTAGAGTCACAGAATAAATTAGAACAGAAAGTCCTGAGGTCTCTGGGCCAACCTCCTGCTCAAACCAGTGCTAACTTTAGAAACCTCCTTATTTTAGTCACCAACAGCTAGGAAATGGTCCAGAGAAAATGGCACCAACTGAAATAACTTTACTCCTCACCTTTACAAATGCCATTAAAAGCAAATGCCATATAGAGTAGCCATTTTTTTTAAACATCGAAGTGCCATGTTCTGCTCATCTCAGAACAGAGCCACGAATCCAGTTCCACCACCAGTCCGTGGTTAAATGCAGGAAAGTGATTTTGCCTCTGTGCCTCAATTTTGCTACTGTAGAGCACAGATATAAGTTATGCAAACTGTAAAGGTTTCACTCAAATCAAAAGGCAAAGGGCTTCAATAAATTTAATGAAAAGCATTACAAAGATTACATTACACTGTCATAGCAAAGATGATGAACTTACAGTTTAGCATTCTGTCGCTTATTGGGAGGTTCTTTGCTGGACAGGATTTCCAGACGCTCCAAGTTGCTGAATACATTGTCTATTCTTGCCTGAATCTCATTTTCTACTACTGCAAGGAAATAAAAATGTGGTTTGATTTGAATTAAAGAACTGCAATCTGAGTGAAGGTAAAAGCTCAAAAGCATTCAAACCAATACTGAAAACCTGACAGATGCAAATCCTTACTGGATGAAAAAAAATCAGATAACTGAGAACTAGACATACCATGAAAAGCCACTTCTTTAACTCAATAATTTGAGACTCTTGCCTTTCCCTCCTCCTCTGAGAAGGGACCTAGGAAAGCCCCTGCTCTTTCAAGATATCTGAGCCCCTTTCCCTATCAGCTCCATGTATTAGGATTTAAAGCTCCCACATTCCCCCCTGCAGCCCCTTCGTGTTCCCTCTGCAGGAGTTGCTTACGCAAGCCAAGACGATTCTCACAACAATGGCAATTTAAGCCTCAGAAAACTGTTAACACAGAGTTAATATACATCATCCATACCTATAGCAGGGGAGATTGACAGAGCATGAGAAGGATTCAGAGTTGACAGGAATTGACAGACTGGACAAACAGCTCAGAAAGACATGGCCAAAACAGGGCTGAAGCCCTTGCAAGTGGGAAAACAAGGCCACAAAATAATTGCCTCTGTTATCATCTGTGTTGCAATTGTTTCTGATAATCTGCGTAGAAATAGCAGAGGGGCAATAGTACACAATGCAAACTCATACACTTGTACTTTAATGAGGTGGGAAACTGATACAACTGGGTAAAGAGTCACACACTTTCAGTTACCGTAGTCATTGTACAGCAAAACTCAGTACAAGCCACAACCCCCTTCCTCATTTGACAACCACATTTTACAACCATGTCACAGTCCAGCATTTCACAACTTAAAGAATTGCACAGAAGGGCAAAAGACAGGAGCATTATTAATCATCTGACATTCTTGTGTTTAAAGAAGGTGAGCTGTAAGGCTGAAGGTACGCACCCTCCAGAGCATGTCCACAGACTGATTATGAGAGGACAGAAGCACCGTCATGTCTGTGCAGCATGACGACACTCCTGAAGTCTCAGACTGCCACAGTCAGACCTGACATAAATAATCACCAAATCCTACAGACACTATTTGTTCTTATTTTGCATTTAGACTAAAGAGGTATACAGAAAAGTGTTATCAACCAACCGCTAACTACTCAGTTACAGTATCTCAGGACTTTCCAGAAAATCGCATTCAGCAGAACCCGGAAAAGCAAACAGCACATACAACCCTTTTCTTTGCCCTTTGACCTCACACAATCAAAGAGTAACTCACATACACAGACACAAATCAATCAAATTGTCCTAATTCATCTCTCCATCATTTAGTACAGCTAAACTTAACAGAGAAGCAACCAGAAGAGCAGACAGACAATTACATCAGCTTTTGCTAGTCCAAACAATAGTATGACTACCTTGGTCATCTTACGCTTTTCTGAGCAAGAAGGCATTATTTGCCCAAAGTTGGAAAAGGAAAAGCTGCAACAGAAAGTGTTTTCCTGGCTCTTATTCCTGCTCTTCAGCCAAAAGAGAATCCTTTTCCCCATAAATTCTGAAATACGCGCCAATATCTAGAGCACATATCTGTATCTTTATATGTATCTCAACAGTATGTGTATGTTCACTTATTGACCATGTAAGATGGTGCATAATCCTATCTCTTGAAATGGTCTCAAGTAGCAGAGGCAAGATGGCAAATTATGCTAATTTTCAAGGGGCTCCAAAATCACATGCAGTGAACAGCAGTCCAGGAAGTCTGGCATTGTACTAGGAGTAGTACAACCACCACAAAAAACAGAACCAGTAGACAAGTTGTTATTTTTTTATAAGAAAAGTTACCATAGCCCTTTCTACAGCACAGTCATGCCTTACAGATAGATTTAGGGTAAGAGAAGTCAGTCAACATGTGCTTAAATGTATCCAGTCAATGCAGTGTGCTTTCACTTCAGAAGTTTCTGATGAGGCCCATTAGCAATTACTCATAGAGGAATTAAGGCTTCAAACACAGGTCCAGAAGACATTTGCCAATTCCACACTGGGGTAAAAAGTCCTGCCACAGTATGTCATAACATTTTATTACAGTCATTTTATTAGCACGGCGTTATAGTCCAAATTTTCCGAAGCAATTTCAGACCTAGCTGTTCTACATATTTCTCATAAGCAGATGGAATTACAGGTTCTGACTCTGATGCAAGCAGGAACTATGAGAATCATCCTGCTTAAATTCCTGCACACCAAATCACAACATTTTCCCCAGAAACTGGACTAAGCATCTTTTGGAGAATACTGCCAATTAGTGGATGCTTAAGGAACAGCAAAATAACAGGACCAGGTATACAACGACGTTTCTCAGCTTTTGAGCTTCTAACAAACTAGCCCGGTGATGTCCTGAATTTGCAGTTCTGTCCACATCAATGTGTTCATTATACCTCCACAAATGCATCAATATGGGGGGGGGTTAACCTGTTTATGTTGAAGGCCTCCACAGCGTAGCCTGACAATGACTTCCAAAATCTAACAGTGCCAAAAAATATCTGGCATTCCCATATCAAGACATCATAGAAGCATCCACAGTAAGCACTATTGGTCAAGTAAAGAATTACAATAGGAAGATGATTTGAAGTAAATTCTTGTTCTGTCTTTTCTGCTCTGTACTTCATACAAAACATCACGTTATTGAAGGCAAATAGTAAAATAATTTTAATGCATTCCAAATCGGTGATGTGTCTCACCAGTTGATCACAATGACTGAAGAGCCAAATTTGTTCCAATAATGACTGTAAATACAATGATAAAGCATGCAAGGTTAAAGATGCAAGCTAAATCAAATCAGTACTGGAGTGGGACTTTTCTCACTAATTAATTACTTACAGTGTACTGACTCTTTGTCTGAAGTCTCCAGGCGTCCCATGTAAGATTGGACCTCATGGACTTGCCTGTCAAAAGACAAAGAGTAAATTAACAGGGAAGTCAGTTAACAGCTATAAAATCAAATCATTTTTCAATACCTCAATTTTCAGCTTCTTTTACTTAAAAGTATTTTAGAACAGAATAGGAATCAGCTACATGGTATTCAGTGCAGACAGCCCATCACTGAACGCAAAAAAACAACCCAATTCTTCAGTATGAAGAAAGCTGTGCTTTCACTTAATATGCATCTACAAAATAACTTTCAGTTTAAAAACAAAAATCAAAGTGAAAGGACTTTTTTTCTCAAAAGATTTCCAATCCAGTTCTAGCTCCCTTTTCATATTTATAACCTGAACTGGGGCTCTCCCCCGTGCCACACTCCTGGCATGCTGAAAGCCATTAAAATCTACCTACTCCAAGACAACCATGGAGACAAGATTTCAGATTCACACTAGGAACTCACAAGTGGTGAGCACAGGAGAGGGAAGATCTGACTGGGAGAAGAGTTGGTACAAGTGAGACCTTAATAATAGATCTGCAGTGAAACACTACCTACGTACGCCACTGAAGCCAAGAGTGCTGATGAGACACCATACCTTTATGTCACTGCATAAATGGGTAGTACACATCTCAACACTAAACACAGGTTTTCTCCCTCCCTTCTCAAAAAGAAAACAGAAGCACTGGCAAAGGTTCAGAGAAGGACAATAAAGATTATGAAAAGTACAGAGCAGCTTTTATACAAGAAACAGTTGTTCAGTCTGGACTGGAGATGGTAACGGGGAGATATCCTAGAGCATAAATGGCACAGGAGAAGGTGAATAAGGAATGACTTTCACTGTCTCTTACAACATATGAATTACAGAGGGATCAAATGAAATTAAAAGATAGCTTAAAACTGAAGTGAAGGAACTCCTGATGCTGGACATGCAGTGGCAAACAAAAACAAAAAAAACCAAACACCACCCCCCCACACCCACCCCACCCCCAAAAAAAAAACCAAAAACAACAACAACAACAGACAACCCCAAACACTGATGGGGTTGTTAAATTCCTCTGTTTCAAGAAGCCCCCAAGCCTCAAATTTCTGGGAGGTTGGGACAATATTCAACGAAAGTATCACATAAGTTTGTCCATTTCTTACTGTCTGCCCTAGAGATCTGCAGTTAAGACGACGCTGAACATATTTTGGGACAGGTGGACTTTTGGCCATACTTGGTGTGAACTATCTCACAGCAGCTGGGATTTAGACTTTAAGAAATGCACTTAAAAAGTTACAGAAATATCATGACCTTTCTCAAAAAATACTGAAGAGATCATAATTGTGGCCACATTAGTGACTCTTTTTCTGGTACACGTACCATTTGATAACTACAGCACAAATGTTTATGAAGCCAGACCTCTGAAACCAACTTACCTTACAGAGTAATAGAATATTTATTCTTCAGTTATTATATGAGATTTTTAAATAACTATCAGGGCTACCTTTCAAATCATGACACTGTGCTGCTGAAGAGATAACAGAGTATGTCATAAGTACCATATTACTTGGAATTAACTAGAGAAGCAACTCAATATCCAGTATCTTGCAACCCATACTTGTTCTATAGTTTCGTTTTCAATCAGTTTCTGCAGGGCGCCCCAGACAGCTTGAGACCCGCGCTGCTCTTCAAATGCCTGTTTAGAAACCCAAGTGTAGGAGCCAAATCAGACCATGTGCAACTGAATCAGAAAAACTGCTTCATGCTCACCAGGACTCTCCCCATGACAGAAAATAGAGTAAGTCTGGGGAAAAGGTGGGAAGAGGGTTTAAAAATTCAGAGTATCCCCAGACTGACAACAAACTACAACAAAAACACAGCTCAGCAACTACGATGTCCAGAGAAGCTGTGGATGCCCCATCCCTGGAAGTGTTCAAGGTCAGGCTGGATGGGGCTCTGGGCAACCAGGGCTGGGGACAGATGTCCCTGCCCAAGGCAGGGGGTTGGACTGGATGATCTTTCAAGGTCCCTTCCAACCCAAACCATCCTGCGATCACGGAATAAGGCAATATGGAAACGGGAACAAGGCAAGATTATTCCCCTTATCAATAACAGTTACTATTACGGGTATGCATTTCTAGACCAACAGCAGGATTTCCCGCTCTTCTCTATACTCTGTATCATTATTTAAGGAAACTCTTCCTTACCACACTACCTCCTTCAACAGAGCTCAACAAAGAAACCCACTACCACTGGAATTTGGAATATTTGGATTAACTGCCTCTTTTGGCTGTTTCCCACAAGCTATTCTATATCACACAGAGCTGCCAGATTTTTTGCGTTATTTTGCAATTTTCATACCAATTCTATCTCACCAGATTAGCATTATCTGTGAAACAACGTTTTATATCACCAAGGAGTCACACATTTCCCGAGGCCGTTTAAATGCTGTCTGCTAGTGATCATGAAACCCCGCTGCCATAAAAACCCTACTAAATTAGCATGCCTTAAACTTATGCACATCCAGTAAAACAGAATCGCTTCTTTTGAATGAATACTTGCAGCCCTGGGCTTTAAAATCCCGGGGCGAGCGGGCTTTGCTCGCTTTCGGACTGAGACGGCTGGCAGCAGGCTGGGGCTCCGGACAGACACGCGGCCAGCCGGGAGGGACAGGCTTTTGCTTCCTTCCGCGGCTGAAGCACAGCCCTCACGGAGCGCTGCGGGGTGGAAGAGGAGCGTCTGGATGGCAGAAAAGCTTTTAAAGGGCGCCGAGAGCGCGCTGGGCCGCAGGCAGGGTGCCCGCCCTCAAACGCTTCCCCCGCCCTCCCCCAGGCAGACCGCTACGGCCGAGCCCGGCCTCCCGCGGGCCTCGCGGGACAGGCCGGTTCCCTCCCCCCGCCCCCCGCCGCCTCACGCACTTGTTGGTCTGGTGGTAGAGCCCCTCCATAACGGCGGCGCG